TATTTATATCTCTCTCTCTGTCTAGATAGATAGATAGATGTGGCATTTCATTTTAATTATGGAAAAATGTAGATCTGGGGTTACTTTTTTTAACCAAAAATTGGGGATTTTTTTAAATCAGAGAAAACCAGGATCCCTGGTCATGACATCTCCTGCTACTGGGCTCTGGGGAAGCAGTTCAGCATGATTCACAGCGATTTCTCTTGCAGGAAGAAAGCAGTCTACCCTGGAATGCCAAATACTATCACCACATGTTCAAATTAAAGCTTAATAGAAAACAGTTATAAACATGTTCTACATTTTTCCAAGCAACGATTTTGAGACTCTTTGGTCATTTTTATGGTTTGTTGGCTACTTTTATTGTACATTAATTACTTTGCACATGCAGCATGTCTAAATTTATTGTGCAATTTAACCAGTAATTGCACAATAGATGTAATGCGTCAAGGGCCTCAGGGAAAACAACTAGACACTGCCGATCGGCCCTATCTTTATTACAATGTGAAATTAGCGTCTCCAATTCCTAGTAATGGCATATTTCAGTTCCTCTGTCATGGCTGCTCAGCAGTGGGAAAGAAGTGACTTGGTAATGATGACAAGTGCTGGCATAGGCCCAGCATTGAAGTCTGTAGTGCTGCTGCCTTGTCTTGTCTTTGCTGCCTTGTCTTGCAGTCGCTAACTTTTCCCCAGCCATCAATGTCAGTGAGGGCTCAGAAGATTTCTTTCAAGGATGTTTTAAGACCTTGTGCAATCAGGGCACCGTAAGTTCAGTTCCAGTCAGTGCACATTTGCTATTCATCACATCTGGATGCCTGGTAGGCAGTGTCAGCACTAGGGTTGGCATTACTGGCATTTGAGCGCAGCATGAACAGGAACAGCAGATGAAAGCCTTGCTGGGGATACGTTCCTCCTGAGGTAGAAGAGATGCCCTGCTCATTTGTCAGCAGACTCAGAAAGCATGTAGCATGATGCACCCCTAATCCTACTGTTGATGGTAGGTCTCTCCACCTCCCCCCTTTTCTGAATGTCTGAATCAAAAAAATGGATAACTAGGAAGCAAAAACTATTTCTTCATCAGAACTGGAGTAATTTGGAACAAATCTTACATATAATCAGAAGAAACCTTAAAAGTCAGCTCTCACTCAATTAGTGTCATGTAATTACCCTCTAGAGCCAGATGGACGCAATAAAGACTAGACAGGTGTACCAGCACTAACCACACATTTTAAAAGAGTTTATTGGCAATTAATGATTCTTGGTCTGCAAATTGTCAGATTGACTGAATAGGCAAATAAGATGAAGTTTGTTTTGTTTTTGTTTCTTTGTTTGTTTTTTAAAGAGAGTGACAACCTGTACTTTGCACCTTATATTAACATACAAGCAGTGGAAACTGCATGCCCTGAAAAAAGAAAGTCATAACATAACAGCAACCAGAGATCTGATTCACAGATTCATAGATGTTAGGGTTGGAAGCAACCTCAGTAGTTCATTGAGTCAGACCGCCTGCCCTGGGCAGGAAAGAGCATAGGGGTAAGGCGACCCCAGCTAGGTGCTTGTCCAGTCTCCTCTTGAAGACCCCCAGGGTAGGGGAGAGCACCACCTCCCTTGGAAGCCCATTCCAGATTCTGGCAGCCCTTACCGTAAAGAAGTTCTTTCTAATGTCAACCTAAATCCGCTCTCCATCAATTTGTGGCCATTGTTCCTAATTACTCCAGAGGGTGCCCTAGTAAATAGAGCATCTCCTATTCCCTGCTGCCCTCCCCTGATGATTTTATAGGCAGCCACAAGATCACCTCTCAGCCTTCTCTTGCGAAGGGTGAAGAGATCTAGGTCCCTCAGTCTCTCCTCATAAGGCCTTGCCTGCAGGCCTCTGACCATTTGAGTAGCCCCTTCTCTGAACCCTCTCAAGCTTCTCCGCAGCCCTCTTGAAGTGCGGTGCCCAAAACTGGATGCAGTACTCCAACTGCGGCCTGACCGGTACCACATAGAGGGGAAGCATCACCTCCCTGGACCTGTTCATCATGAATCTGCTAAAGTATGATAAAGTGCGGTTAGCTTTGTTGATCACTTCATCGTGTTGACGACTCATGTTCATCTTGGAATCAACTATGACTCCAAGATCCCTTTCCACTGCTGTGCTGCTGAGATCATCCCCCCAGTCTATAAGTGAGTTGGTGGTTCTTTTTACCCAGGTGCTGCACTTTGCACTTGTCTTCGTTGAACTGCATCCTATTCTGTTCTGCCCATTTTTCCAACCTCTCCAGATCCTCCTGCATCCATTCCCTACCTTCTGGTCTGTTAAATTTGCCCCATAATTTGGTATCATCTGCGAACTTGGACAGGGTGCTGTCCATGCCCTCATCCAAGTCACTGATGAAGGCATTGAATAGCACTAGTCCAAGGACCGAGCCTTGTGGAAGTCCACTGCCCACATCTTTCCAGGTCGATAGCGACCCGTCCTCCGCCATTCTTTGGGTGCAACCCCTAAGCCAGTTTGCCACCCACCTGACTCTGTAATCTTCTACATCACAGCGTCTCAGTTTGTTTATGAGAACAGAATGAGATACTGTATCAAAGGCCTTCTTAAAGTCTACATAGATGACATCTACCTTGACTCCTGCGTCTAAGCATTTTGTGAACTGGTCATAAAAAGAAACAAGATTAGTCAGGCAGGATCTACCTGCAATGAATCCATGCTGATTTCCTTTCAGCATTATTTCCCCCGCTGGGCTCCCACAAATATGATCCTTAATGATTTTTCCAGAGTTTTCCCAAGGATAGAGGCGAGACTAACTGGCCTATAGATTCCCAGTTCCTCCCTCCTCCCCTTCTTGAAAATAGGGACCACATTGGCCCTTTTCCAGTCCTCTGGGACCTGACTGGAGCACCATGAGTGCTTGAACAGCTCTGCCAGTGGCTCTGCTATGACACAGCTGTTCCTTCAGCACCCTTGGATGAAAGGTGCTGAAGTCAGACCGCCTGCCCTGAGCGGGCAGGGCAATTCCTTTCGAGGAGTGGATGGACATATTTAGATCAAACTAAAGGCCTTAATATTTGATTGTGTGTTTTGATTTTTTAACACATTCACAGAAGTGCATAGTTTCATGTTTAACTGTGTATTTAATTGCCTTATTGAAATAGGTGGTAAGAGAATTTGTAAAGTATAATTGAGAAATTCATGCCTGCATGAAAATGGATAAATTAATTAGTACATTTTAAAACACATACAAGACAGTAATGGCCCTTTCTGGAATAGAAACTCTATTTAAAAGGAAATGAAGGAACTGCCTGTTCTGTTCACCAGAACCCTCTACAGCAATACACAAATTGCTTTTCAGCATACCACAAAGGGGAATATGGTGTGAGGATAAAAGGTTGCCCAGCATCTAGTCAAGTGTGCATGTGCATTCTTCTTTGCACATGGAGAACTCAGCTGCATTTGTACAACTAGTTCTTGAGCCCAAGCGTGTATTGGTCTGTACTCCAAAACCTGCAGCATGACTGGTACACTGGACTGGACTATTGAGCCTCTGCCCTCATGGGCAAAGATCCCTATTTATCAGATATTCCCAATCCCCACACATCACAATTACAAGGCACAAAATTAGAAACACACAGAACGCCACACAGCATTCAACTGATAAAAAGCCTGGGAGACAAGGACACTGCCTGTACCCTGCCACTGCAACTGCACATAATTGATTAATTGAGGGGTGGCCAGCCTGTGGCATGAGTGCCACAAGTGGCCTGGGCAGCCTGTGTGTGTGGCATGTAACAGATCAGGGTGGGAGACAGGCAGCAGAGCAGGAGATATGGCAAGAAGCAGAAGGAAGAGCAGGGGATCAGGCAGGGAGCACAGGGCAGGAAGCAAAGCAGGAGATCAGGCAGGGGAAAAGAATTGGAGTGGCACTCAGGGCTGGAGTGTGTCTAATTTGTGGCATGCCTGCCAAAAACACTGGCACCCACTGCATTTGTATGGTCAGAGGATCCAAGGACAGAACCAATTAATTCCCCACACTGGAGAGGAAGGCAAGAAGTATTTAGTCCTTGTGGATGTAACCAAAGGGAAATTTCCTTCCTACCCTCAAATGTGTTGATCGGTTTGATCTGGAACAAAGCAAGATCCCCCAACCAGGAGATTTTTTAACACACATGCAAATGCACCCCAGTCAAAACTCCCAAATGTAGGTGTGGCCATGTTCAATACTCCAGAGGAAGATGGAGGGTGAGTGAGGTGGGGAATGACACCACCTAGCCCAGCACTGTGTCACAGAGCATGTATAAAAATTGCATGAATTGCACAAAGAAAGCAGATCCTAAAACCAATCCCCAAGGAACCCCACTAGCGATCACTCTCCAGTCTGAAAACCCACTCTTCCACATAACCCAGTGTAGTCTCCTTTACCTACCTCATGTTTGTAGTATTGGCCCCCATCCTCTCCAGTTTGGCCAATCATTTTCCACAAGGCTCAATCTCAAAAATCTTTGCTTAAATCTAGGTAAACTAAGTCCACTACCTTGCCCTTATCAAAAGGCTATTCATTTAGCCTGGTGTGACCTCCCTTGGATAAAATGAATGTTTTATTTGTCTTAGTTTCTGTTGGTTTGCATATCTTTGATTATTCTTTCCTCCAAATATCTAAGCCCTTAATTACTGCTGAAGTCAAAAAAGACACTCTTCGAGTCAAACAAATGGAATGAAAGTATTTTAAGAAGGCAAATACTATTGTATATCCATTTAGCTCATTGTACAAGCAATGGTGCAAGACAACAGAGGATCACCTGTTTTGGGTTTCTCAGTGTCAGTGTAGGATTCCCCAGAAAGGAATGGGGGTCATAACCTACTCTCCTCTTTTCTGACCAACATGGTCAGCCCTTTAATAAGGAGTGGCCTCTCCATACTCCCTTCTAGGGCAGTCTGTGGCTTACTGCCGTACTGGAGCCTAAAGACTTTTGTAAGACCCATATATACTATTTATGGACGGAGATAGAAATGTTACCTTTATCTGTACCACTTGGATTTCATCACATCTGCTTTCAGCAGCAGCAGACTTCCTAGTTTGTCCTCTCCTGTGGCCAAACTTGCATTTGTTCCTCAGAACCTGTTCATCATCTTCAATTGGTCTCCGCACATATTTGAAGCGATCTTTAAGGGCTCGTTTCCATAGCAACTGTACAAGAAAGCCAACGTTGTTAGTATCTTTGAGAACCATGCTTCAGTCCTAAAGCAGGATATTTCCCTCTTTTTCCAGGTAAAGGCATTACTGACAAGTTGTGTTAGACACACATTTTCGGCAATATTCTTTAACTACACCTTATCTCAACATGAAACGGCCACCTCAAAAAACAGCAAACAATTGTACAAGCTAAAGAATGTGCTTGAAAACACAGGCAAGCTGCAATTCAGAAATCTTTTTCTCAAATTTATCTCCCAAGGTCAGCAGCATCCTATGAATTATATTTTATACTTCTGCATGAACTGATAACGCAAGAGGGAAAAATAAAAGAATGCTTATTAAAACAAGATGGTAAAAGATACTGTCTGAGGCTCTTCTCTATCACCCCAAGCCAAATTTTTCTGAAAATATCAGTTGTGTACCTGCTACTAGGGGATGGCAACAACTCATTTTTCTGTTTTTTTAAATGTTTTAAGATATCCAAAAATCACTTTAGAGTACCCCACCCTGTTGTGGACACTGGGGTGAACGGCTGAAAGTTGAGAGTTCAAGGCCATAGCAAAAGCGCTCACAGCACGGCCATGTTAGAGTCCAAAGAATCTGCAAATTCTGCTAAATAACTTGTCACAAGGACATGAGAAAGAGAAAGTCAAGACAAAATTCAAATGGGTCTATTACAAAATTCAAATGGGTCTATTATCCTATGGAGGTTTTTTTACTTAGGAAAACATCCTTTAGAATCAGTGGATGTTAATTGTAGATGCTCAAAGGTTCTTAGATATTCTGCTTACTCCACTATCATCCTGCTTCATATAAATGCTTCCTTCAGTATTTATTGGACCAGAATACCAGCTCATTTTATGTCTCCAAATGGCAGCTAACCAGCTGCAAAACTGCCATTTCTCACAGTTACACAATTCACAACCCTGCTCCATGCACAGTGTAGACATGTGACTATCCATATAGCTACTAAACATGCAACAGGTATCTGACTGTACATACATAGGCGGGTGTAACAGGGAACCCTAGCCCTATTACCAAGAAGTAGGGTGGTCCCTTTAAAACCAGAACCTTCCAGGCACAGCTGGCTGGTCAAGTAGGGGTCAAGGATCGAGCCCTGCCCACTGGTCAGGTGACAGGAAGGGGAAGGCCAGAACCATATAAACTGCAAGTGGAGAAAGCCAGAGAGAGAGCAGAGAGGGGGACCCCCGAGGACTATGGTGCAGCTGCAGCAGCCTCTTTGGGAAGAATACACCACACTGTGAGACAGAAGGACGATCACATAAAGTATGCAGGCACTTTGCCTCTCTTATTTCTTTATTATTATTTTCATTATATAGCCATAGGAGCCTATGGCTTATGTTTGATGTTAAAAAGGCCAGTGTTTTGTGGTTAAGGTTGTAGCGGTGGAGGAGGCCTTATTAGTGCCAAGGGGCACCATGATAGAGCAGCCCTGCTGCACTAGGGGTGCCACACTAGGGCCAGAAGTCCAAAGTCGCTTGAAGGCAAGATAGGAGCCTTGAAGCCAGGTCCTAGCAGGTGTACTTATTTGAAAGGCCCTAACTACAGAAAGAGGGGCAAAGCCAAAAGAGGCTGAGGCCCCAACAGTCTGGCACTACGGAGATATACAGTGTAGAAGGGCCAGTAGGCCTGGTGTCATGGAGAGCATGGAACAGAGGGCCTTGAGCCCAAGTGAGTTAGAGAGCTAGAGCCTTGGTGTCAAGCCCCGATTAGTGGGTTTTGACTGACAGGCCTAGCTAGAGAGAGAGAGAGCAAGCCCCAGTGGCTGAGACCCCCAACATAAAGAGAAATTTTTAAAACCATCTGCGAGTCACAGGGCATGTCAAGGGGAGGTAGGAACATGCATTTTTGCCCTTAAGGCAATACCCCATTATCCTACAGGTGGTGAGTCTGGAGCCTGTCTGGGAACCTGTGGGTCAACCTCCCTCTTTCTTAAGAATCAAGTAACAACAAGTCATGGCAGGTGAGTAAAGGGGTGGGGAAGCTGATCCCCAAAGAAGAAAAATCCAGCAAAACGTGACGGCGACACACTTACCGGCATATTAAAAAAAAAAAAAGCTGGCCCCCTGTCACAACGGGGAAAGCACAAATTATGAAAATCTACCCAGCAAAAGTCTATGACTGGAGGGGGCAGTAGAGCAAGAAGGACACTTCAATTTTTTAGCCAAATAGTCAAGTGGATGGGCTGGGTACATGGTTGAAAGCCCAGAGGTTGGAAGTTTGAGGCCATAACAAATGTGCTCATGGTGCAGCCCTGACAGATTCCAACAAATCTGCAAATTCTGCTAAACACCTTGTCATAAGGACAAGAAAAAGGAAAGGAAGTCAAGTGGCCAAGGCAATCACCCAGGAAGCAGGACAGGCAAGCTCTTAAGTCCTCCTCATTTTTCTGACTTTCCAGCACAGTATTATAGCCCTGGTTGTACTCTAGCCTACAACATAGGTCTTTCACTTCCTCGGTGAGTGTCCAGACCACTGGGCTAAAAACAGAAAGGAATGTACTCAATAGACACACATAGAAGCATCCGCATAAATGTAAAAAATAGCAGCTATGCAACTGTGTAGGTGCCATTTGAGTACTTTAAAACACTGCTCACAGTCCTTAGATTGCCATCAACTGCATTTTGCCTTTGCATCAATACATGCAGGCAATGAAATATGACAGTACCAAGGGATACAACACAGACAAATGTGGAGTAGCTTACAGTCCTATTTTTGTATCTAGCTCCCTTCTTTGTACCAATCTATGTGATTAATTGAACTATGGGTCCCAAGTGAGATGGTCTACAATGGCTACAATTAGCATGGTAGAATCTCATACTGCCTATGCTTATTAATTATCAGGTTCCATCCACCTGTGGATATTTCTGTGTTGATAACAAAAGGAAACATGCTTCCTCTAGTACATCTGAACAGTCCCCCTCCTCACTATACAAGTACATTAAAGAAAATCTTTCATTTCTTAGAGAGATGAGTCACTATCACTTCCCCAACCAAATGGAAGAGCTAGACCGGGAAGTCTTAAGTCAGCTCACAGAGGCAGTTAGGTTAAAGGACATGGTCATCATGGGTGACCTGAACTTTCCAGACAACTGCTGGGAAGAGCAGTCAGCCAAGTCTGACCGCTCATGTCGGTTCCTAGCCGAGATGCACGACCTCCCTCCTTCTAACCCAGGAGGTGCACAGCCCCACCAGGGAAGACACCTTGTTGGATCCGGTCCTGGCCATGGGCAATGACCTAGTGAGGAGTCTGAGGGTGCTCAACCACCTGTGTGACAGCAATCATCGTCTGCTGGAATTCACCATCTAGAGCAAGGTGGCGAAGGTCTGCAGCAAGGCAGCAGCCCTGGACTTCAGGACAGCAGATTTCAATGAGGTAAGGAGAATAGTTGAGGAGGCACTGAGGTCCCAGACAGGAGGGGAGTTGGGAGTCCAGGAAGAGTAGTCGTTCCTTAAGGAGACGATCCTCCAAGCCCAAAGGGAGGTAATCCCAACACAGATCAAAGGGGGCAAGAGGGTGCAAAAGCCCCCATGGCTCACCAAAAGCATCCAGGAACATCTAACTAAAAAGGAGGTATACACCCAATGGAAGGGAGGGGCCATCACCAGGCAGGACTATACCTCTGTTGCTTGGGGCTGCAGGGGGGCAGTCAGGAAGGCCAAGGTGGAGATGGAACTGGAACTAGCTACCTAGATCAAGGACAACAAAAAGTCCTTTTTTAAATACATAGGGGGTAAAAAGAAGGTACCGGGTAACGTGGGGCCCCTGCAGGACACACTAGGAAATCTGGTCATTGCACCAGACAGCAAAGCTAACCTATTTAACAATTTCTTTGCCTCCATTTTTCTGAGTAGGGACCAAGTCAACTCTCCCACCAGGACCTCCATAGGCCCCAGGGGAGGCACACCCAGGCCTAGGGTCAGTGAGGACATAGTCAGGTAACTTCTGGAGGGAGTGGATGAATTTAAATCAGCAGGTCCTAACAACCTCCACCCCAGAGTGCTAAAGGAATTAGCAGAGGTCATTGCAGGACCCCTGGCACAGCTTTACAAGCACACGTGTTGCTCTGGCGTGGTACCAGAGGACTGGAAAAGGGCCAATGTGGTTTCCATTTTCAAAAAAGGGAGGAAGGAGGACCCAGGAAACTATAGGCCAGTTAGTCTTACCTCGATCCTGGGTAAGTTTTTTGAAAGAATTATCATGGCACATGTCCACAAGGGGCCAGCAGGGGAGATTATGTGTAGGGGCAACCAACATGGGTTCATTAGTGGCAGGTCCTGTCAGACCAACCTGGTGGCCTTCTATGACCAGGTCACAAAATCCTTAGATGCAGGGGTAGCAGTGGACATAGTCTTTCTGGACTTTAGGAAGGCCTTTGATACTGTCTCTCACCCCATTCTCATTAAAAAACTAGGAGACTGTGGTGTAGACACCCATACAGTCAAATGGGTTGCCAACT